AATTTTCATTTGCTTCTAATTTCTTTTGATTAGATTTATTTTTAACTTTAACTTAAGAGGACTATTTCACTTGATCAAATTTTACCTTGTGCATTTTTAATAGAGATTTACTAACATTAACAGGCTCAGATTGGCTTTTAGGATCACCAAAGGCAAGCATGAATTACAAATCTTCATTAGCTAAGGAGGGAGATTAATTTTTCTTTTTATATTTTTTATTGGTAAATATTGAAGAGCCACTCTCTCCATTAGATTCCTTTATTCTCTAAAATTCAATCTAATTGAGACTGAACACTTCATATTTTTTGTTTTTATTACCTTTTGAGCTCTAAGTTTTATCTTTTTAATATGTTTCATAGCCTTTAGATTAGTGATATGTTTAGCTTTTCTATTCTATTTCATCCAAGTATACATTATGAACTTAATCTGCTATATGCTCCAATTTATGGGCTGCATAATGAACTCCAGATTCAGACTATATCTAAGTATTTTATGCTAACTCATTTTAGACCACTTTTTTCTTCTTTTCTTCTTCTATTTTACCCATGTATATTTAGAGGTCTTGCTCATAAGTAACTATCTTTTCAATATACTTACCAAGGGATTAGAATCTCTTGAATTTCTGAGCATGTATTCTCAATAAGATAAGCATAAATCTAACCACCCAGTTCAGTAAAAAGTATGCGTTATAAAGTAGAATCATAAAGAAAAGACCTGTAAGTAACGAATCATTTTTCTATACTTCACTATCTACAAAGAAAAGTCCACCAAACAAAACAAGAATCTATAGTTTTGTTAGATTAGAATTAATATACTGATGCCATTGATGAATGAAAATCTATCTCGCAGTTTCTAGGATCAATATATGGATTGAGACTTCTAGTGTAATAGTTTTGCATAAATAGAATTAATATTGAGATTAAAGCCTAAATAAATATTATTAATATTAACTTTTATTACTTTCATCTACTGCTTTTCCTTGGTAACGAATGTCCCTGTTGCAATTATAATAAATTTCCTTAAGTTAACTAGAATTATCTCCCAGTAGAATGTAGAATCATTCAGTCCTACATAAAATAATCCATATAATTTAAGATTTATCTGCTCATTTAATTTGCCTCTTAGTTTCAATAGCCTTGTAAAAACAAAAGCAGGAAATCCAATAGTCCAAATCCCTAGAATAGGTATGCCAATAGCAGAACTCATTTTGATATGTTCGCTAGTCCAGCATTCAATGCTTGAATCTCTTCTTAAATATGATTTTCCATCTTCATAATTTATACATGAAAATAGAGAAAAAGCACTAGTAGTTACAGTAGGATGCAAAATTAAAAGAATACAATAGCAAGATACAGATATATACATTCTTAAATTAAAATTTTAATCTTTTCTTCTAAATATCAATTTAACCAAAAGCCATATAAAAGCAGCAAAAAAACTGAAAATTGCAGGAATAATACCGTATATAATCACTCTCAAATAATAGGATTCTATGCTTTATGAGCCCATTTGATAATAAAAGCAATCAAAAGAAATCAAACTTTATTAAGAGCTGCTTATAAATGAGAAAATTTCGAGTATCTCTTCAACTTTATTTGGCCACTGGAGTTCAAAATCCTTTGTAAGCATAATAATCTAGAAATAATTTGTTAAAATTCTTAAAAGCACAGTT